TTTCCCATCCATTTGTAGGGCAGGTAAGAAAACTTATGTACATCTTCACTCAAGAGCACCCTAAGGTGCTAGAAGTGCTCCTGGCAGTGCACCTGCAGACTGGCAGCGCCCAAAGCCGATGCCCTAACCCCATGGCACAGGTCCACGGGGAAAAGGAGGAGGCAGGAGGGTGCAGAGCTGCATGGGGGGCCAGCACTGGATGGGTACACACAGAGAGCAGGGGTGAGAAATAAATCCTCAGGTCGGTTATTTTCCCTTGAGCGACGCATGCCTCTTCTGCGGAGCCTCCTCTGAACTGCCACGTGAGCTGGGAATAATTAAACACTCATTACAGCCGCGGTAGCAAAGAGCCCCCCGGATCAATCTCAAGCATGACCTTTCCCTCCGACTTCCCTCTTGATTTCTCCAGCCACCTCCTTTTCAGAGAGTGACACATTTTTTCCATCCCACCCTCGCCCCACGCACCCGCACCGCCTTTTCGCCACCCAGACCCCGCAGAAACCTGTCGCCCACCCTGAGCGGGGCCACGGGGCACCCTGAAAACGATGGGAGGAAAGCTCAGCAGGGAAAAAAGGAGCTGTGAGCATGAAGGGGACAGGGCAAGCAGGACAAGGGGTCCCTCGCTCGGGGTGCTTGGTGGTCCTGCTGCATTTCTGCTGCTCTGGGCTGGGCACAGCTGCCCGCATGCTGGGCACTGGGAGCGCGCAAATATTGACTGGGAGAGCACTTGGGGAGCACAGATGGGACCAGAGGTGCTGCTGGGCCCCACTCCAGGATCTTTGGTAATTTTTACCATCACTCAGCCCTTTTCGCCATCGGATGCAGGGGGTGTTTAAATCAGTGCTTGGAGCAGGTTAAAAATCCTGACGTGCCTCCCCTGCCAGCACGGATCACGTCCAGCTGCTCCGGGGAGCTGTCACCCCGTGGCTGGGTGAGGATTTGGCCTTGTGTAGTTAAAAAAAAAAAATAATCAAACCCTCATTTCCTTATTTAGGCTTCAAGTGACACTTCCACTTATTTAAACTGGCGTCCACAAAAATCCAATTCCCTCTCTGCCCGGCTGCTGCTTATTCCCTGCCGGCGTTCGCTCCGTGCGGCTCTGCTGCGGCTGCTCCGTCCCGAGGCTGGGCTCCTGAGCCGCTAAAAATAAATTGTGTCCACCGGATTGTTTTTAAAGAAATAAATCAGCAGCTTTCTGGCCACGGCGTGCAGAAAGCTGCTGGCTTTGTGGGATGCCAGGCAGGAGCTGGTGCCGTCACATCCCAGGGGCTGGTGAGGTTGTTCTGCAGGGCTGGAAAATAGCAGCAGCAGCATGGCAATGCTAAGGGCTGAGCACAAACACGTGTAACTGCCCGGGCTCGAGGAATTTGTTCTCGTGCTGTTGTTATTAATTACATGGGGAGGTGCTGAGCGCAGCCCGTCCCTGAGGGATGCTGCTCCTAACCCTGAATGGGGGCTCTGTGGGATTAAATCCCACTTGACCATGCCTGGGGAGCTCAGGTGGCTGCGTGGAGCCTCCAAGTGCTGCCACTGCTCTGTGCCCAGGTGTCCCCTCGGAGCACCCTCAGTCTCCTTTCGTTGCTACAACATCCCCAGCTTGCAAGAGCCTCAAGAAAAAGGACAAGCACTGCCCTGCTCGTGATAAAGCACAACTGGATGATCTAACCTCCAGCTCACGCCCTGGGCTCTCAGGATGGGAAGCAGCAGCTTCCATCCATGAGGATGGGAAGGGCACCACTCCCTGCGTATGACTCTTTTTTTTCCCTAGCAAGCACACCCCAAAAGGCAGGAGCCATAAAAAATAAATAATTCTGGAGCCCTCCATTGAGGAGGGCCATTGGGTGCCACTCCAGACCAGCAGCACCAGGGGCAGGGACCTCGTGTTGTCCCCAGCAGTGGCACCAAACATCCACATGTGCAGGGATGCCACAGCCCCCGTGGTTCCCATCTGGAAATGCAAAGCCTTCGGGGGACAGAGCGAGGCTGCCCAAGCTTCTGGGTCTCTCCAGGACCTTTCCTTTCTTATGTGGTAGTTTGGGGGGGATTGCCTAAAAGGCAAAGAAGTTGTTTTGCTGTAATGCACTAGATAAACAATTCCCCAAATAGATTAAAACTAACTGTAACTTATAAAAGCGGGTAGTAATTATATTTTATTAGCTAGCAAAACACCATTTTTTTATTTCGTAGGATAATTCTGTGTAAATCACCTTAATTAGAAGTGTCAGACGAGCCTGTGAATATCGTACTTAGTAACTAATTTCCTATGTACAGGTTATAATTTAAAACACATGGATCACTCTCCGAGTGGAAATATGCTAGCCATGAAATAATGTGGGGAGTGTTGGGGTTATTACTATGTAAATGTGTAATCATTTCAGACCACTGCAGCCTGGCTGGGTGATTAAAGAGAATCCCAAGGTCTCCAAAGATTGTGCTCTCTGCAAGGGCCTTGAGCAAAAAACTTTAAAAGGCACCGAAAAGTGTTTGAACTTTAAAGGTCTTGATTTCCCTTTTACCATTTTTAATTTGTCGGTGGTGTTTATGGACAGGAAGGCTTCTCTTTGCTGACGGCCCCTCCGCTTCCCAGCCCCTTCCCGGCATCCTTAGGAGGCAGGGAGGGTGGCGTGGGTAGCACGGGGTCATTTAATGGGATGGAGGAGAGCAGCTGGGAAGAGCCAGGGCTGTTCTAGGGGCATTCAGGATGGGATGTGTTGGAGGAAGGCTCAGGAACCTCAAAGGGAGGGATCTGGGCAATAACCTGCTCTGACCACCCTTACATCGTGGGGGCTTGGGGCCGGAGCTTGTGCCCATCCCGGGAAATAAATAAAAATGAACAACTGCTGTAGAACAGGGCTGAACTACAAGGGAGTAGTTGTCAGCGATCCTCCAAATGGAGAACAATATAAACTCTGCCAAGTTATTTAAATCAAGCCCTTCCCTCTTGGTCCCGGTGGTAACCTTTCAGAGGAACTCTCATCCTGGGAACTCCGGTTTCCTGGTGCTACAGCCATTTCTGGGAGGAATTAATGAGATTCTTCCTCTTGCCCTCTAAAAGGAATAATTTTAAACACCCTTAACAAGAAAAGGGAGGAAACGAGTTGTTTTTTTAACCCAGTGTTTGGATTATAAAAGAAAAAAAAAAGCGTTGTTTCACACTTTGGGCAATTCGGAACGTCAAGGTATTGTGGGAGGTGCACAAATCCCCAGCTGCTCGTGGCAGGGAGCCAGGAGGGAGGTGGTGGCAGGGACTGGGGGAACCAGGGAGGTGGCAGAGCAGTGGGATGGGGCGCAGTGACATCCTGCACCCCCACCAGCATCCAGCAGCGCATCCCTCACTCCGTGGGCTGCAGCCAGTGAAGATGGTGGCTGTGATGTCCCCAAAATGCTCTGCACGTGTCTGCATCGAGCAGCACACCCTGGGAACACCTGGGAACACCGTCTGTTTGCTGCAGATTCATGTTAAAGCGCCTCGTTGACCTCGGGGCCAGGAGCAGTGCTCCGGCATTTGGGGTGACCCAGCGGTGACAGATAAGCACGAGCATCCCCCCATTTTGGGGCAAGGGCGAGGACGGTGGCACTGGGGAAGGAGGGGGCCATAGCCCCGGGAGAAAACACCTTCCTCCATCCCTTCTCATTTCATAACACCCAGCCATCTGCCAAATCAAGGCAGATTAAAGCCAGCCAAATTCAATTTCTCCCCGCTGCCACTGCAGCTCGGCATCTGGGGCTAAAGTGTCCCCGACAAAGCGAACATGACAGGCACATTGCTTTTTTGTCACATCTAGTACCATGTTGATCTTCTAAAAGTCTCATAAAAATTTATTGATGTCTCCCATATTGCTGTGATTGAGAAGAAAGGAGCGTGTGTGTGCGGCGCGCGCGCACGCGGGGAGGGGGGGGAGCGCGTGTGTGTATTAATGCTCCTGAAGTAGATCTGATTTGATATGTCTTGTTCTATTGTCAGCATCTGTTTAGCGAGGCTTTTTAATACTTTCTGGCTGCCGATCACTCATCCTTAGCCTGGGATGCGGGCTTGCATACAAATTTTGTTATTAAACACAATTCCATCCTCTCCCCCCCCCTCCAGCCCCCGCAGCCCCCCCGCCACCCACCCATCCATCACCTCCCCGGGGCTATGGGCAGCCAGCCGCCCCGCCAGCCCGCGCCTGCGAGCTCCGGCACTGGGGCTGGCAGCATATTTCAAGAGCCTTTTTGCCTGCTGCAGGTGCTTTGCATTGACAAATCGAATCACGGGGAAATAATTTATTTCCTAATGCTGTTTGCAGCATGTTAGCAGGAGAATTTACATGAGAGAGATTACTTTAATAACCAAAAAATTACAGTGCAGGCCTCCCCGCCATGTCGGCTTTGATACGTAATTGTTTCAAGTTTAACCTGTCTGGAGGGGGGAAGGTGTTATTAAATCTATAGCATCTCCCGCTGGTGAGGGCAGGCAAGGAGGAGCACCGTGACGGGGACCTCCTTCACTGCTAAACAGGGAGCAAGCTGAATTAACAAATCACTCCAGCCTCCGGCAGCGGCTGGAGCAGCGGGGATCTTCTTTCCCTTGCTCTTTACGCTGATTTAATCTCCCTCTGTTTCCCTTCCTCCTGTTTTATCACGCCTGACCCCATGCTGGGCTCACCACCCCACATTCCTCTTGCTGTGGGTTTCTTCCCGTTGCCCCCACAGGCTCGCTCCCTGCTTTTCCCCAGGGTGGGAGAGGAGCTGTGCAAATCCCGGGGACAGGGATGGATCCTGCATCACACCAGCAACAGCACCTGGGTTTGGGTGGCTCCGTTCTTGGGCTCTGCTCCTTGGAGCATTTTCTCCTGCAGGCTGGGCTGGCACTGCCCTCCGTTCTGTGCCCTCCCCGGCCAGGATAAGGAGTCCCCCGTTGCTCCAGGGATGGGGAGCTCTGTGCTCTGCTGTTTGAGCTCCCCACACTGCCTACCACGGCAGTTTCGTGGCTCTGACCCCCTTCTCTTCTCTCTTGGCAGTAAGAACTCCATTCTGAAGGATGCCATGGCAGCGGGCACCCCCAAGGTAAGTGAACACAGCTCAGTACGCTTTACCCTGGAGGGGTGCTCCCTACTCCCCATCGCCTTCCCAGCCCAATCCCTGCCCTGCCACTCACTGTTCCCAAGGGAAGTGACCGTCCTGGGCTGTCCCCAGCAGTGCCACGCTCTGGGGCCAGGCCAGCAAAGGGGATGTTGTCCCCATACCCCCACTGTGCTGGAGCGGCTGGGTCCTTGTGCAGCTCAGGGACAGTGAAGCTGAAGGACCCAGTGGGCTCCAAGACTCCAGATTGTGTCTAATGACAGCTAATGAGAGCTGATCACACGCACACTGAGCTCAGGCTGTGAAATCATGCACGGAAGCTGCGGAGCCAGAGCCATATGCCAGTTCTGGAAGAGGGGAATGAGGCTGCCTCAGGGGGACCAAAGCACACCTGAGGAGGAGCCCAGATCACTGAAAAAACCCTCCTCAGCTGGATCCCCATCCCCTCAGTACCCACCTCCCATCCCCTTGGCTCAGAAAATCCTGAACAAAATGCACCAAGCATCATGGCATCGCTGCAAAGGGCATCATTCACTAATTAGCTGCCCTTAATATGACGCTGCCACGGGAAGGACCAGAGCTTGGGCAGGCACATGGGTGGCCAGGAGCATGGCTGGGCACTCGTAGTCCCCTTGCACAGCCACCAAAAACCATGCTGTTTGGCCCAGGCTCTGTTTTGTTTGTGGTGCCAGCAGCTTGGGGAGGGCACATGCACCCTGACACAGCCGCCCAGGGAGCTTTAGTGCTGGGAACTTCAGCTTTTTTTTTTTTTTTTTTTTTTTTTCTGGATATTTTGGGTAATATTTTGAACCACTTGGAATGCAACATCAGAACCAGGGGTAGAAATTGCAGCTCCAGGCTTTCCCCGTGAGGGCCGGTGCCTCGGCAAGCACATAAACACCCTGCCTGCCCCTCCCCGGGCCAGCAGGCAGAGATAGCTCCCAGGTAAACCCGTCTATTTCCCAAACCTGTGAGGGAAAATAAAGACCCACAGGGCCTGTGGTTGCCTTTGGGTGTCCCAAAGGAGCTGGAAAGGGCATCTGCGAAATAACGCCTGAGCGGGAGAGGGACGGGTGGGAAGACGGATGAGCTGTTTGGAGGGACACGCAGCAAGTGACTGACAGACAGCAGATAAAGCACAAGGTCCATCTCTCGGCAGGGACGGGCTTTTGAAGTTTCCATTGACAAAGAATCCCATTTGCCTTGAGCGAGGGGATTAAACTGGGACTGGAGAGTCGTTCTATGTAAAGGAGATCAATCGTCCCCTGTCACCACATGGATCTTTTCCCTTTGCCCGTCACGTCTGGGCCTAAGAACATTAACTTCAAGAAGCCACGAGAGCAGGGAGGGAGAGGGTGAAATCAGGAAATCTTTCATTCCCTTCTCAGAGAGCTTGAAAGCCTCTCAGCCCAGGAGGATTCATTATTTCTAGGTGGCTTTTGCTGGGAGACAAGGCCTGTGTGGCACGGGCAGGCCGTGCGCTTCCCCGCCGGGTGGGCCTGGTATTAAAGCCCCCTTTGTAACCACACGGGGCTCGGGAGGAGGAGGTGGCAGCCGGGGCCGCTGCTTCCCTCTGTGCCCACTGAAATTCAGCAACGTTAGGATGTGAAGACCCTCTGGGAAAGTCCATTTCTTCCCCACAGTCACCGCTGCAGACGCCTCTCCTGGCAGCAGGAGCCCAAGCGTAAGCGCACTCCTCGCTCCCTGCTCTCCTGCCCCTCAAGAGCTGTCAGTCACCAGGCTGGGTCAATTTTCATGGCAATATGTCAAAGAAAATCCAATCACTCAACAGGGGATGCAATGAACGCAGGATTATTGTATCAGGTTCTTCTATTATCGGGGCTGACCGAGGCAGTGACGGCCAAGCGAGGCCTGTAAACTGGGGGCTGCGGCCATCGCATCTGCCCGGGTCCGGGCTCATTGGAGAGGCGAGGAGGGTGGCACGGAGGTGGTGCTCAGCACCACGGTGCTCAGCATCCTCAGGGCTTCCTTGTGGAGCTTCACGCCCATGGGAAGGGATGCAGGCTGTCCTTGCTCTTGCTGAACTTGACACCACGGCTCCACGGTGCCATTCTGCAGCGTGAGCTGGTCGTTGCTTGAAAATCCTTCATGCCATTCCGGGTCCCCGTGGGGAAGTCCAACACCAGAGTCACTTGGGAGGGCGCTTTCTGAAGACGTGTGCCAGCCAGCCATGCCCCAGACCTCCCTGAGCCCAGAGTATGTCCTCCTAGCTACCTAAGGGTGTTTTTTTTCCACTGCCAGGCTGTGGAAGTGAAGCTCCCCAGTGCTTGCTGTGGGTTCGTCATTCCTCCTCCACTTCTCCTGCACGTTCCCTTTCCCACCAGTGGCCCAGCTGCCAGAAAATATTGGAGCAAGGGGCCAGGGCCAAGCCCCCTCCCTTATACCCAGCAGATGCCAGCGGTCGCTTTGCTGAGGTTTGCACCTTGGGTGCCCCCAGACCTCCACCGTGCCGCAGCCCCGCGATCCCCCACCTGCCCCGCGGTTTTACAGCCTCGCAGAGCAGTTTGAGAGAGAATTACAGCACCTAGAGGGAAATTTGACCACTAAAGCCCTCCAAGGAAAAAGAGCTTTGAAGCAAGCAAGATTTGGAGCCTGAAACCTTGATGGAATGGCTGTGCTAAGCCCTTGCCAGCCGCCTGGCTCGAGATGAAATTTCCAGCGCGATCATTCAACTTCTGCGTATCGTGTCTGGTGCTAGGAGCAGGGGCTGGTGGCAGGGCCCCAGGGCTTTGACTCCTTCTCTTGTGTCAGGGACTCACTGGGGGGGGCTCGGGGATGTCACACTCCTCCCTCTAACTCTGATTTATGAGAAAAGATTGAAAAGCCAAATATGAACACTGGGGCAAGGCTACAGCCGAGCCGGGGACACAAGAACAGCCCACAGATATGCGAAGGAGGGGAAATTACCTCGGATGCATGTCGGCTGCCAGCTCGGGCTGATGAATACCAGAGCCACTCCAACAAAAATCTCCGCCAGGTTTTATTCCATAAAGCAAATTACCCCATGAACAAAGCCCCTCGCTCCCCTTGGGCCAAACAGCTGTGCCCTCCCCTTGGTCCGAGGGATGCTGCGTCCGGCAGGAGGGGCACACAGGGATGTGGTGTGGGGTTTCTGTCCCAGATCCACCAGGACCAGGGCTCCATCCCCTCCATCCTGGTGCCTCCATGGTCAAATTGGCTGGAGGGGGCTCCCTTCCCCTCTGTGCCTTGCCCCAGGGGGCTCAGAGCTCGACTGCAGTCCCAGGTGCAAGTGTAGCATGCACGGAAATAAATCAGCAGCCCACTGCTGACACCGTTATTTCTGCTCACTATTCACACCCTTCCTACGTTTAAGCTTTTCATCCCCGGCTCCATCCCACCTTTATCTCTGCCAGCTAAAAGCCACTGGACAATTTTGCCTCTCGCTTTCCCAGGAGCAAATGCAGACCCTCCGAAAGCTTCTAGGAAAGTCAGCTCTAATAGTGGCATCTTTTTGTCAGGGATCCTCCAGCAGCAGCGTAACAAATGGCTAGCAGAGAGAAGGGGGAAAATCGCAGCCAGGCCTGGTATCACTCATTGCTTTCGGGTTACAGTTCCCAAGTGATAACAGCTATTAGCAACACTTTGACGGCTTCCCTACCGTGGAGGGGAGGGCAGGAGACAGAAAACATGTCAAGCCATCACCTCCATGTTAAGTGATAAGTACCTATTTAGGCGGCAGAGTTAAAGCTGAATGCATCAAGCAGGGAACACTTTGTGCCAAAAAAAAAAAAAAAAAAAAAGGAAGAAAAGGAAAAAAAAAAAAAGGACCATATAGATACATAAAAAGCAGAGTTGGGATATTTGTTCTGCTGACAGCAGCTGTGATGGATCGTTTAAGAAAAATAGACTCCCTGTGTTTTTCCAGGGCTATCAGAAAGCTGGAGTCCAGCACTTTAACACTCTCAAATGACCGGCCTTGAGAGGAAGCGGGATGTCAGCAGTGCCGATGCTGCCCCAGCGAGCTGCTGGGTTTGGGGCTGGTGGTTTCCATCCATCCCTCGCTCCAGCAGCTGCACCCAGACACACGTCCCCTCCTCGTGCAGCTCCAACCCCACACTGCACGGGGAGGTAACGCTGTGCACGTCTGGCTCATGCCAAACCTGCCGAGCACCCAAACGGGGAGGATGGAAATGCCGAGCGGGGCCGTGGCTGCCCAGCACAGCAGGAGGGGCAGGAGGAAGGAGCGAGCACACGGCTCGGACAAGATTGATGGCCTCGTTGCCATTAAGAAAAAAATTAGCCGGTGGCGGCTATCATATTAAAGGGTGAAGAAGCCGTGAATTATTTTCTTAAAGATCTTATCACTTACAATGATAATTTTACCTTCCAAAAGGCCACTTTTAATGAGGCAAGCCAGGCAAAAAGTCATGATTTAATGCCAGATTTTTTTTTCCAAACACATTTTACTGCTTTTTTGTCCATGTTTAAAAAGCGCCGGTGACCTTTTTTTATTTAGCTTGCCCCAGGTGTAATGCTCAGGCTGATCCTCTCAGGGTTTATAACCTCCGTGGAGAGTGCCTTTACCCAATGGAGAGATGATTTAAAGGGGGGGGAGAAATATGAGGCTGCACGGTGGCTCACACGAGTGTCTTTGACACTGGGAGCTGTGGTTTGCCAGGGAAGGGGACACCAGGGAGAGGAGGATGCTCTCACCCCGGTAGCTCAAACGCTTCCCAAACAGGTACCCAAGGCAGTGAGCGTGGCACAGATTTCTGCATGCCATGCCTCACTTTTGAGGTGGAAAGAAAGGATTTGGGGCTGCCCAGCAGCTTAGGGGTGCATGAGGGCTGGGAGGGCAGGTGCAACGCTGCCCTTTTCCCCTGTAGCCATCTTCCCAGATGCTGGCAGTGAGATGGAGCACCTAGCCCCTGGGAAACAGCCCCGATATGACGATTTGGGGAAAAAGAGGCCAAAATCGGGAAGGCAGACAGCCTGGCCCGATGCAGTAATGGAAGTCACCCTGCTCTCCAGCACCTTTCCCAATCCCTCAGCCCCTGAGCCTGCTTCCCCGCGTGCCCCGTGGCCATCCCACCAGCACGGGCTGCAAGGCAAAGTGTGCCACGTCTCAGGGAAATGAGAAAAACAAATGAAGTCGAGTTTCCTAACAGCAGAGGGGAAGTGTGACTTGGCATCTCTAACGCCGTGCTTAACATGCCGGCAAGGTATTTAAAATTGAAGTGCTTGCACACAATTTAAAAATAGACAGTTTATTAATCTAAACTGCAAGTGTATGTAGAAGAGGCCTCGAGATTGACATCTTTGGGATTAGTTTAGCCCTGCGTTTTTCCAGAGGTCATCGCCATGGTGCTCAGGAGGTTTGTGGAATAAATGGGGCCGGCGTTCTTCCCGGGACCACACGCTAAAAACTAATACATAACGTTTAATTTACTGTCTCCATAGCTAGCCCAACCATTTTTCACATAATAATATTGGATTAGAGCTACCAGAGGCTGAGGGGGGAGCTGGAGGCGGGGAGGGTTTGTCTGTCTGTCGACGGGGAATGGGGAGATGGGTATTTTTTCCCCTTTTCTAGAATACATTGGAAAATGGAACGCATTTAACCCTCCCAGCTCCAGAGCGCTCAGCTTATTAGGGGGGAAGGGGCATTAACACTGCTGCAATCAGGATGTTGTTCCGAGTCCCACTTGAAGGCTTTGAGTCCCTCCAATTTATGGGACATGTGCAATCCTGCTTCAAAAATCATCTTCGTTCTCCTCTTAGAAAATAAAACCCCTAAATTATAGCAGGAGCTGGGGTCTGCATTCTGCAGAAGTTCTCCTGGTTGCTCCTCACGGCTGATTAGCTGATAATTGAGCCCCCCTGTGGGGCAATTCCCCTGTGACCCAGCACCCCAAATCCTGCTCCCCGCCTGCACCCCTCGCTGCTTTGCTTCCCTCGCCAGGCAGGCTGTCGGAGCCCGGGGATCACATCCTGCTGACTGAACGGATTTGTATGCTGAGTCATTCTTCCCCTTGCTCGTATCTTTCCAAAAAATGCACATTTTTTCACGTTTCATTTCAGCCCAGAGGCAAATGTTTCTGGAATGCTTGCCTTTCTCCAAGGTATTATGCTTTTTAATAATGTTGTCACCACACTTGACCTGTCCAATTCAGATGATATCTACACTTCCCTTTGCAAACATACACATCTCCGAGCAGTCATTTATTGTTGGATCTTGCCAGCTGATTCTCGGAAACAAACATCTGGAGAGCTGTGCTTACAGTGTATATTTTTTACAACGCAGCGTGCCATATTTAACCTAGTTTAGCTAATTTATATTTTAAATTAGAATTTTAAATTGGATTTCCCCTTCAAATTCTTCTAATAATAAACTTCGCTTACAACTCAGCGTACATTTTTTTAAATGCTATCGAACTCCTGCAGGAATTTTCCCGCTCGGGTTCATTGCCTGTAGAATTTAGACTTACCCACTATTGACTTGAAGTTTATCAGCGATTTCTTAGGTCTCAAACACCACTGATCTTTTTAACCTTCTAAAAGGCCCTTTTTTCTGCGCCGCTTATTAAAATAAATAGCATCATTACAGAATGAAGAGGTGGTTGTGCTGCTGAGAGCTTTAGCGTGGTGTACAAGGCTAGGGAGAGATGTAGTGGAACTTGCAGTGGTGGACAAGTGTGTGCCTGGCGTTGCTCCGTGCCAGCACACCCCCGTGTAGCTGTATGGATTTTGTAGATTTCTGGGGGGTTTATTCATGAGGGGACTCTCCTGGACCCCCTGTGGCATCTGCAGGGCAGAGTGTGTCTGTGCAGTGCTCTGACACTGCGTGCTGTACAACCAGAGATAAATTAGCGGGCACCTGGGAAGCCTCATGTGCAAGATGCTCGCCCAGCACAGGAGGGGCACACGCAGAGCAGCGTTTGCTGCCGTGGCTGTTTCATTGCCTCCCCCAGCCCATGAGTGCTGGGCAGCCTTTATGGTCCAGGGATGCGTGCTCATGCTTCCCCTGTAAATAGCTCATCCGTCAGACGGGGCAGGGGAGGGCTGATAGGAGAGAAAGCAAATTTAAGATGGTTCTCACCAGCTGAATCACTTTAAATCGCACAGTCCCTTGGGCTCTGGGCTGGTGTCTGCTTCTAAAACTGGCAGCGCGTGCTGAAAGCAGCATCAGCCTGACCTCCCTTCCCCAGCCAGCAAACCTGTTGGCCTCTGCGTGGCACGGATTGCGGGGTGCTCCCGCTGCCCCTCCTCGCACATCGCTTTGAGCAGATGTGTTTGCACTGGGCTGGAGCAGGCAGCAGCCCCTGCAGCCCATCCCATCACAGGGCAGGTGATAAAATCCCTTCAATGTGAAGTGTGAAGCCACTTCACACCCCTACATTGCAGCAGTCTGTCCCCACGCCGGGTGGATGTGCTCCCTGCACCTTGAGGGCAGCTTAGCACGGGGCAGAGAGCCCGGCCATGCTCACAGCATGAATTTCTCCTTTCTCTCGCAGTCAATTTTGTTGTCGGCCTCAATCAAGCGGGAAGGAGACTCCCCGACAGCATCGCCCCACTCCTCGGATGACATCCATCACTCGGACAGATACCAGGTAAGCAGGCAGACACCAGTGCTGCTCTCGCCGTAGCCAGGGAGCCGGCTTTCCCCAGCGCCCGCAGCTCTCCAGGAGCTCCCCAGCTCTGCACCAGTGCCCACCTGCCTGCAAACTGGGGACACAATCACTTTGTCCTCACATGGCCACAAAGGCAGATTTTTGCCTGCAGGGTCCTCCCAGCTCTGGCTTTGAACCACAGCTGTGCAGAACTGCTTGAAATCGTTGTAAAGGTTTCTGTTGCGTTATATTCATCACCCCTGCCGTTGCTATGGCTGTGTTTGTCATTACTTACCCCATGCCACTGTGAAACTTCCAGAGAAGTGATTTTTATTTTTTTTTTGTATAAGAGTGAATGATGTCAGCCTGCAGCAGGCCAAAATTCATTTGGCTGGTGAGCCGCTGCCCAGCAAACTGACTCGTGACTCCCACCCAAATTTTGGACCATCCACAACCATGCCAGCGTGTTTTGTAACCCTGCTCTGCCCAGAGAAGTAGCAGGTCTTGACTTGTTGCAACACACTGAGTAAAAGTTCAGGGAGATGGAACAGCAAAGGATGAGGAAGGCAGCAGCCAGAGTACAGCTCTGCTTGTAGGAAGTCTGTGTTTTGGGGGCAGGCTGGCAACCTGGACTCCAGTTCGAGACAGCTCCGAACAGTTTGGCTGCAAGCCTGTGCTTAGCCACTGGCTTCAAAACTCCAAAAGGCAGCAGATAAAATAGCTGTAGCCTTTAGCACAGACCCAAGCATTCCTCTGCCTGCCATGGGGACAGGCTGGGTGGGCCATAGCTGTACCAGCCTGGCATAAAACCATGACCCTATATGCTGTCCTATCCCTATATCCTCTCCTATATCCATGCCCCTATGTCCTTGGCAGTGACACCCTGTGCCCAAGGTCAGGGGATCCTATATAGGCCACTTCACATGTGCCAGGTCTGCAGTTGGAGCTGCAGGAGAGGCTGATGGCCATTGTTTGGGGTCTAGCCCAGCAGCCCCAACTAACACACCCGTTCCTGGAGATAGGACCTATTAGTAGCAGAAAACTGCCTTTGTTGCCCGTTATCCTGCCCTCTGCCCTATTATTAGTGATATTATCAAACAAGGGCCAAATCCTCCGGGTTTTGCTACATATTCCAACGTAGCTGTGGGTTCTAATTTGGTGTCACATCATGGTTGCTTTACCCTTGTATGAATGATGAGACCGGGTGCAAAGTAAGAGAAGCAAAACCCACAGAAGATACAGAAACGCCTCGTTCAGGTAATTCATCTCTCTTTCCCGCCTACTTAATAAGTAGGCTAATAAATAAATTATGCTCCTTCCAAGAGGGTGTGGAAAAGACTTTTGCAATGGCCCCCTTTGTTCGAGATCACCCCTCCCTTCCCGTTCCTCCAGATTTCAGTCTCGGTGAAATTGGCGGTCCCTTGCAGTCCTCTGTTCCTATAAATTTTTATTATGTCATACTTGAGGACAAATATTCTCAGCAGAAGCCCCCTCTCTGTGCTGAGCCTAGCTGGTCTCTAATGTGTTTTAAGTTTGTGAGCGTATTTTATGGAGGGTTGCAGCCCTTAATGCAAATGCGTAATGGGAGCTGTAAGCCCGCACTGCAGGGAGAAAAGACCTCTGGGGCCTGATTTTCATTTACGCTTACGCTGGCTGCTTTATGCCGCTCTGGCAGCATAAAGGGACCTCGGAGTGGGTGCCAGGGTTGCGTAAAGCCTCTGCGTATCCTTAATAAAGCCACACCATCCATGAGAGTTCAGCCTTCCTGGCTTATGAAATGCTCAGGAACCAGAGCTGAAGGCTCTCGGTGACTTTAAAGGCTGCAGAATTTAAGCTTTCTGTATGCAGCGGTGTGCTGGGACTATGCCTGTCCCTTGTGCTTTTTGTGATCGAATGGCAAATATGAACTGTATTTCTAACGCGCTAGGATGGGATATTGGCGTATGGCTTTTCCGAACTCCTATGACTCGTTTTCCTTAGTCTTATTTAGTGCTTATTCACCATGGGGATATTCAGGGAAGAAAGAGCTTTGTGAGAGGGAGTGCTGCAGGAACACCGGCTTGCACAGCGCTTGGGCTGTCTGCGTTGCTTAATTAATTAATTAATCAATTAACTAATTAATTAACTAATTAATTAACTGATTAATTGAAACCAGCGCCGAGCAGCGTGAGGGGACGCTGCCGGGGGGCACGGGGCCGCTCATGGCGGCGGGGAAGGCCCCGGCCTGGCTGAGGCACCAGGAGGCGCCGAGGCTGCCTGGCCCTGAGGGAGAAGGTGCAGGGCAGCAGCTGATTGGACGCACCACTATTGGGTTCCAGTCGATCCCAAGGCTCTGATTGGCTGCTTGCCATTGAGCCTGAAGCGCTCCCTCTTCCTATTGGCCAAAGCGCAAGGCCTGCAGCCTCTCCTAGCCCTCCATTGGCTGCGTGGCCCTGCAGGCCGATTACCCCCGATCTCTGATTGGCCAACCCCTCCCGCCGCAGGGCGCTGATTGGCCGGGGGAGGAGGGTGCGAGGAGGGGCTTTGCCGGGAGGGGGGGGGCCGTGCTGCCGCCTGCCGGTTGCCATGGGAACTCCCTCCTGCCGCCGCCTGACCTTTCACCCCCCCCCAGCTCGGCGGCGGGTCACATGACCGGGGCCAACATGGCGGCGGCCGCCGGGGGCTGAGCGGCGGGGCTCCTGCCGGGCCGGGCCGCATCCGCCCGCATCCCGGGCCGCGGGGGGGGGGCCGCGGCTCCTCCGCCTCGCCGCCAGCCCGCGGCTATGCAGAGCGGCACCAGGGGGCCCGGCGCAGGCGGCCGGGAAGAGGTGGGGGCGGGGGGGCGGCGGGGGAAGGCCCCGGGGGGGTTAGGGGGGGTTAGGGGGGGTTGGGGGGTGCTGGGGGGGGGCCTGGGCCTCGCTGACCGAGGGGGGGGTGCTGATGGCTCTCCGCTCTTGTGTCCCCTCTGCAGACCTTCCTGCGGGTGCGAGCCAACCGGCAGACGCGGCTGAACGGTGAGTGCGGCGCCACGGCTCTGCTCCAGCCCCAAAATCCCCCCCCCCGAGGGGTCCGGATCATCCCTCCCCCCCCCCCCCATCCACATCCACATCCACATCCCGGCCTGGCCGCCTCCGCTGTGGCAGCCCCCGGGCTGGGATCGCTGCACGACCCCGACACGAGCCGTGCTCAGGGCCTGGGCCCGCTGCCGTGAGGCCCCGCGGCCGCTGCTGGGTTTTTGCAGCTCGCCCGGCCGCACCGAGGGCTCGCAGTGAACTTTTAAAGCAGCGGTCGCCGAGTCTCTGAGCGGGCTTGCGTCTGACGTCACGGCTGTTGTGATTTTTTTTTTCCTTTCAGACCCGCGGATGCTGGCGCGCTTCTTTTAATCCCGTGTTTCCGGGTGTTGATAACGACAAGATGGGAAATGTGCTTAGTGAGAAGTCCTTTAGCGTTCAAAAACTAAAGCAGAGCTCGTTTTCTTTCAGAGAAATCCCATCCCTATCTTTTCTTTACTGAAGTTTCAACTTCTTCGGCTCTTTCCCCAAACTTCAGAGAAGTCAGAACTTAACCACTTAAATAATACCAATATTCTGCCATCTGATCTTATAGATGACCTTATAGCTGGTCTAATACGTACCACTTGGCTTAGTTGCTCAAGCCACCAGGCTTGCCAATTTTGAGCTTCCTGCTGTGATAGTTTGGGACAAATGTTTGACGTGATGATGCTGTTTAGTTAGGAAAAGGTAAAGGTATCTTTACAAAACAGCAAAAAGCTTTAGATGGTGCTGATGCTAAAATAGTGTGCTTAAAGTTGAAGTGCTACACTTGGTATAATCTTAAATGGAAGTTTTATGAAGTTACTGACCCAATGTCTTCACAAGGAGTGCATACCTGAGTTCAGAGATGGCTCCGAGACTCTGAAATACCCACCCCGAGGGCCAGAACCTGTGAACTCTTGAAGGTCTGTCAAGTCCTACATCAAAGAGATGAGTTACCGTGCATCAATTTGGGGTAATTGTTGGCATGTGCACACTACTAGATGAGCGCAGTGAGCTGCCAGCGTTTGCAGGCAGTCCCCTTTCCTGACACAGGCTTCAGATGACTGCAATGCACTCGGGGGTTACCCTGCAGTGACTTGTTTTGTGTGACAAAGGTCTCTGGAGTCAGTGATGTCAAACTGTTTCTTTATCGTTTTGGATAGTTCAGTCTAAGCTCACACCTTCCGCCTTTTTTCAGGCCAGTAATTTTAAATAAAAAAAGTCAGAGCCAGGCTGGGGAGGTACTTGGCATTGTGGAGTCCTTCAGGATGAATGAAAGCTCTTGATGACAGCATGCTCTGCTGAACTGGCGCAGCGGTGCTTTCTGCTTTTGACTTCAGCCTGACAGGGCTGCAGTGCTGTCGGTGTGGGCTGCAGTCGAGGAACCCCTCTTGGGCCCTGTTTTGGGATGTTTTGGTCAACCTGGGCTTGTCAACTAACGGGAGCCTCAAGTTTGCTCAGCATTTGCATTGCTTTTGCTGAACCCTTTACTCTTTGTATATGCATTTTGGGGTACAGTGAGCAGAACTAACAGACATGTTCCAGGTGAGGGCATTTGGTTAATTTGTTTAATCCACTTTGAATTCTGATGTTTCCTGGCTGTTCTGCTCTATGCCCTAACAGTACCAGGTCCAGAAGTTAGGAAGCTGAATGCAGAACTACTAGCTGAAATGCTTTGGATCACAAAGAAAGTCAAGCCGGATCAAAGTTGGTTCCTCCTGACCTTAGCTTTTCATGATTCCTGGTTATTATTCACAGAACATCCCTGTAGTGATGCCTGATTCACTCCTGTGCTGTCAGATTAGTGTCCAGCCGGATGGTCGGATAGGTGTACAGCTCCTTTCAGTGCTTGTGACCACTGAACTCTGCCCTCTTTCTTCTTTCCTCCTCACCAGTTGTTTGCTCTAAAATAACTTGTGGTATCCATAAGCTTTGCCACGTTACTGTTAAACAGTTATTTAAGCACTGTTGCTCCAGATGGAGAACAGCTTGAGCGCTGTGGGGAAAAAAAAAATGCTTATTTGTCTGTATCTTGTGTTTTAATGAGCATCTAATCAATCACACAATTTTATAGCTCGCTCTGTGAGATTGGTTTCCTTATCCCTGTCAGTTTACATTGTCAGAAATTTTGTAGGACTTGTCCAAAGGCATCTGGCTCTTGTTAAATGTTCTTGTTGACACACTGAAGAAACTTAGCATATAGAAAACTCTGTCAATGAAGAATGTACCATTTTGTTTGCTTCTGTTACATTCTAAAGGTATTTTTCAGTATCGTTTCTACCAGTTTGTCTTGGTATCTGTGAAGTTTCTTACCAGCTGAGCTCCAGGATCACTTTGGGAAACTCCTCCTGTAAAAGGAGACCCATGGTGTCTGCTCTTCTCCCACGTTGTCCTTGACTCAAATCTCAGCTGCCCTGGCTTTTTGTGCCTGAGTCCCGTCAGATCTCCTGGATTTGTTTCATCCCGTTGTGGTTGCTTCAGGCAGAACAACAAGAGCTAAGAGAAGGTAGAGAGAGGGGCATCTTCTGTGAGCTGCTGTTGGCCTGGCTGCCAGGTGATTAGGTCCTGATAGTTACGTGGTTTACGGGTACCTGGCAGTTCAGAATTTTAATTCTGGAAGTCAAGCTTTTAACTTCAATTGAGCTGTAAGTAAGGTGAATGCATGTGCAAGCCTTGGAGCAGCAGATTAATGTTCTGTCTTCCAGGCTCTTGATGGAGTGTTGGTATCTGAAGCTCCCCGTCAGGCTCAGTGAGCTAATCCAGCACCTTTCACCTGTGCTAAACTCACTTTGCAGAGGTTGTGTCCTCGTGAACCCAGGAGTATGAGATGCTGATTCCCTACAAACCCGTGTGGGGAAGAAGGCATTTCTTTCATTTGCCTTGTTTCCAGTGTCACCCAAGTCAGAACTTTTTAGCCACCCTGCAAATTGATGCTTACGGAATTTAACCTGCTTAGGTGCTCGTTCAGAATCAGAAGCACAAAGTTACACTGGGTCTATTGGGACATGGATTCTGCAGGTCAAGGCTGTGCCACCCTCAGAGAATAGTGTCAGATTGCTGGAAATCATCTGTGTGGAAGTTTGGCTGTGCAAATGTGAAAGCCCCGTTGAGACCCTTCTGTGAATTTGGCCCTTAATGTTCTCTCTCAGGCAGATGAGCAGCAAATTACACACAAGGTCTGAAACAGATTTATTCTTGACCATCTGTTTTCCTGCTCTAGCATGTTCTTGAGGTGGCTTTTTGTACTCTGCCATTGCTGCCTTTGTTCCTCGGATCAGATGCTCTTCGATAGGCTGCTCAGCCCCAGAAGCTTTTTGTCCTAAGTCCAACAAAGCGTAAGTTCTTGCAGTAGATTTGTAGAGAGGAGGTGCTGGGATATCTTCGATTGAAACTCCTTTGGCAGCTGCCTGGGAAACCGGTTCCAGGACCGATGGTGCCCCTGATGGAATGCTGAGGGGATTGGAGTTGGACTCGAACCAGCACATCGTGGGCTTCTACAGCTGGCGATGGGTGGGGGAGGGATAAAGCTAGATGGTTTTCACCGGAAAGGAGACAAAAATGTTTCCATTTAATTTGATTGGCCTGCCATTGCAGGAGCTGCTAATGATGTCTGCATGGGGCTCGGGGGACCACTCAACCTGGTGGAAGGAATCATGAGAGATATTGCTAGTAACTTAATCATCCGCTTCGATGCTGCAGGAGAGCTTTGTGTAGTGTCCACTGCTGGATGCTCTGTAAGAGCACTCCTGAGGGAATTAGAATGCCCTGTCCTGAAGGTGAGTTTTTGGTTACAGGGGAGGTGGCAGTGAATACTGAAACCCGTTAGCTTTTTTCCCAGGAAACTTTTCTGGGCACTGGTAGGGCTCAGAGAAGAGGCTGTGTCCTGCTCCTTGCTGGTGTTATCAGCAGAGCGATGCTACAAGGGGATGTGAGAGGACAAAGTGCTCGAGGCTTTAGTGCAACCTCAGGGAGAACACACCCAGCAAGAGCACTGCTGTAAAGGATGTCTGTGAGAAGGGGACCTTCAATGGTGCTAGAAGCCCTCAGATGGCCTAATAATAGTTATTAATCTTAACAAAAATTAGTGAACTCCTCACCTCCTGGCGGAAGGCTGGAATAATAACTACAGGCTTTGTTCAGGTGGAGATAAGAAGGGGTCAGCCCTGTGCAAAGCCCTTTTTCCCTGAGCTCAGTCCTTTGCAGCCAGTCCTCCGCTGGCTGTGTTTTTATCTCCCTGAATTACAAGAGGGAATGGCTTTTTTTTCCTTTCCTTTCCCTCTCCCAAGCTCCCACGACAGGAGCGTGGGGGAGAGGGATTAGTGAGCTAATTAGAAATGATTGCATCTATCAACACTAATTAACAATCCTGTGGTCTCACTCGCGTGTTCTTTTGAGCTGTTCCCCGTCGGGACAGCGCCACAATCACCCCGTGCCTTTGGGGCCGCTCTGTCCCTGCTGCGCTGATTGGAAGTGATAGCCGGGCATGGAGAGCGCTGCTCAGGACGGCCTTCGCTTCCTTTCCTTTCCTGCTGTCACCAGGGGCACCCCGAGCCTCCACGGGATGAAAATGGCAGGGGGATTCGCTTTCAACACCTCTCCTGTCCAGTGGCTTTCTCACTCGTGGCACTGGAGCTGAAAGGGCTGCTGCTCCGAGAAGCTAAAGGAGCTGAGAGGAGCTGTCTGCTGGGTCTGGCACTGGAGCTGAAAGAGCTCGGTTCTGTTCCCAGCACTTCGGCAAAGCAGGTGCTTGTTGTGGCAAAAGGATCCCAGGAATTTATCAGCACAAGACCTAAAACACGCTGCTTTCCTTTTGTTACTGTGGGAGCGCGTGGGCTGGAGGAGTCTGGCAGTAAAAAATCCAAAATACTGATACACTCGTCAGACAGACCGGCTGACCTGGATTCATTGGCCACAGAGACTCCTACCCAAATATTTTCCCTGCTTCTTCCCTCCGTGTTTAAAACCAGGACGAGGTGAGGGAAAGAAGTCTGTGACCGGGAGCGAGAAGGCTTTGTTTCCATCTTCCTGCATTTTTCTCCGGTCAGATAGGTGTTTACTGGGGTATGGTCGAGTCAGATTCCAGCCTCCTCTCCTGGTTTGTGCTGGCTCTGCAGAGTTAATGAGGCAAGGAAGGAGCATCTGAAACTTGTGTGGAAGAGCTGAGCAGGAGGCTGCAGGTACTCACTAAACCAGAACTCCAGAAGTCTCTCATGCACTGAAGTACAAAGCAGACAGAGCTTGGATTAACTGGGGCTGCTGCTGGTAACAGGGCTGCGTGACCTTGGCGGAGGAAGAGGAGGAGGGAAGGCTTTGGGGGCTTCAGGAAGGGAAAACAGAGAAGCTGAAGGGGTCGTTGTTTTATTTAAAAGTGGAATGTAATTCATCTGGGCACACTGAAATCAGAAATAACACTTTTTAATTAATGTTTGCTTCTGTTTTTGACTGGAAGTCAAGCAGTTTGCCTTCTGGAGTAAAGGTTGGCAGTATGAGGAAAATAACTGGTTTAAGCAGGCGGAATAGGAGGGAAACTAGCAGAAACCTCCTCCGAGGAGTACTGAACTACCTGAGGTGTGAGGAGAGGCAGGTGGGTGTCTGCCTAGCGCGAGAGAGGAATGTGGAACTGCAGCAAACAAAATCAGACAATTGCTGAAAGCCGTGTGCATTGACTCAAGAGGGTCGCTCTTGTTCCAAGTGCCAGGCCTCAGAAACACTCCTGGTTTAGCCTGAAGTTATCTCTTACTGTAGGAATGTTACACTTGCAGAGTCGTTTTCATGAAACCAGGAACACAGGTTTGTTGTGGGGGGAGTTTTTTTGGGGGGTTCTTGCAAATCTGCTCTCTTCTGGTGCAGAAAAGCATTGTCCAGGGAAGAATTTGCTGCTGTGTTAATCCTAGAGCATCATGGAGTGTATGGGATGGTGAATACTCCTAATTCTGGGTTGTGGGGAAGCATGTCCTAACCCAGAGAGTCCCACATGCAGGGAAGCCAGCAGGAAAGCCTTGACAGAAGCCTTTCAGGTCTGTGGCGGTGCGCTCAGCTAAATCGTGACAAATCACTGGGTGATGTGAATTCACTAAACTGACATTTTAGAAAACAATTGACAGAAACTTTCCCCAGTACCCTGGTAGGGTCCTGGCATTCCAGCACCTTTCTCCTCGCTGGCTGCAGGGAGCTGTTGATCTTCCAGTCTGCAGGCACAAAGGCTCAGAGCGCGCCGCGGTGCTCGCCACGTCAGGAACGATTTCTGGCTAACGCAGCTCTTTGGTGGTGTCATCTCTCATTATCACTCGGGCTTTCCTTGGGCTTTTCCTTGTGTCTCATTCAGAATTTTGACCTTCCTTATTAATTAAACAGGAACTTTCCTGCAGCCAGTGATTGAGTTATTCGGTAATACCTGCCTAAAGCCATCATCATAAGGGACAGAAGTTCTTTTTAATGCAAACTGATTCGGTTCCAGATGTTTTGATCACATTAAACTGATGGCTCAAATTAACCAGAGATTGGATTAAGCAACAGGCTACCTTGGCTGCTTTTTCTAATCATCGTGATTCCCAACGTGTTTGTTTCCCAGCGCGTGCCCTCAGGAAGGCGGCGTAGCCCCAGTTCCTCTGCACATGAAAATAGGGAAATAATAGAGACAGAAGCTATCTAGGATAGGTGCTGCATTTGTACCAGCAAGGATCTTCCCATAAATGTTACCTGCTGCTAAGGTGCTCCTCTGACTTGTTTGTGATGGTCTGGGAAGGAATTATTCAGGGTGTGCGGGTCCTGAAAGTGATCGTAACCTGACTTGTCCAAGGCTTCTGGGGCACTGCACCAGCTCTCTGTGGTCTGAGCTAGTTTCTGTGTAGGGAGTGGGTGAGTCTCCCACTTAGAGGCATCATCCAGAACAGGGTTCAGTGTCTTGATTTGAAAATCTCACTGAGATTTGAAAACAATTTGGACTTCCAAGAGAAAGTATTTGAATAACTTAGGATTGTGGAGTAGGTATTTGCTCTCCTAGCTCTTAAGCTGTGAGCAGCTGCCTTTCTGAAATCAGGTTATGCTGAGCCCCAGGTTGCAGGTTTCACGTGGAAAGCACTAAGTACAATTCTCCATGCTGTTTAGGGGGTCAGAAAAAGGAGTTGTGATGGGGTTTTCTGGTGTGAAACCGTGCCGTTTCTGCCCAAGGCTTGTTCTTTGGAGCTGAGCGCCCAGGGAAAAGTGGAACTGCAAACTTGACATGTCTTCCTCTTTTGTTTTCTTTCCTTGGTTTCTCCATGCAGCTCGGATTGGAAAAATGAAACGGAGGAAGCAAGACGAAGGGCAGGTATGTCCCCTCTGCAGCCGACCTCTGTCAGGATCCGAGGAGGAGATGAGTAGGCATGTGGAACAATGCCTTGCAAAGGTAGAGGCGCAGCAGGATCGCCAGCTGCCATTCCCTTCTCCCTACTCCCAGCTTTGTCTGCAACTGACCTAATGTGGGGCAAAAACTAACATTGCTGAGCTCGCAGGCAACGCTAACTATGTCTCCCTGAGATCTGTAGTCACTTGCCTTTGTCTTGGAAGATGGATTCTTCTGGATTTTCTCTTGTGTCGCATTAGTGACTTTTTTATTTCATGCACCCTTTCACCGTTATTGAAGTTGAAGTTGTAGACTGTAAAGGCAGAGCTATTGAAGTTTATGAAGCCTTTTGTAGGACTTTATGCTTCCCGCGGAGCACAGCAAGAGGAGTTCTTTTTGATCTCTGCCTTTGACAACATTAGAATTATTTTTTGTTGGCTTCTTTTGTAAGACTGGCACCTGTAAATGTTGCATGACCACCTTACTCTAGGAAGTACGTTTGAGCAGAACCATTCTCTTGCTGTTCTTCCCAAAGACGGGAATAACAAGGAACAAGCCCTAGGGGAAAGAGTTGTCATAGGGCTTTTCATGCTTGTTTTGCAGAAAAACCCACAAATTCATTCTTGTTGCATCAAGGGGTGCATGATGTAAGGAGAGGTGCCTTTTGATCAGCACACCCAAATAACGTGCTCTGGGAGAACATTCCTTGCTAGTTCCTGTAGCTTGGGAGCTTCTCCGTGCTGGGGATCAAAGGAATCTGTTGCTTCTATGGTAGAGAGGGAAATCGTGCATGCAAAGTGAGGGAACGCATGTGAAATGCACGTGTGTCGTTGTAGGAATCAGAGCTTAAATTTCTGTGCGCAAAAATGATGACCCCTTGCCACTTCTGCTCTTAAGGTCATCGCGTTTGTCTAGTGCTGATTTACTTCTAGGTGCCTGGGGATGGGGGAGGGAAGCAGATGCTGCCCTGGGAACAGTCCAGCTTTCCTTCTCTATCCCACCCTGAGCTGTTAGCCTCAGTGAGCTATTTCATGCATCTCAACGCTCTGCCCCTGCTTTCCCCTGTGCAGAGAGAAGGTTCCTGCATGACTGAGGATGACTCTGTGGACATCGAGAACGAGAACGGCAACCGCTTCGAAGAGTACGAATGGTGTGGGCAGAAGAGGATACGGGCTACCACTCTCCTGGAGGGAGGATTTCGAGGTGCGCCAATGTTTTGGGGTCACTCGTGAATCATTCTGCTGTTGAAGTTGATTGTTGCTTGTCTTTGGAAGGAGGGACCTGGAAATCTCTTTCACCAGGGGTGGGACCTTAGTCCTTTGCAAGCAAGTAAAGCAGTTCCAGCTTTCTGCCCCTCTGGAATTGCAAGAGTCAAAATTTCTGCAAGCCTTGAACAAAAGCATGGCATTATTTCTTGCTCAAGAAATGTGGCTAAAGAGGGAATGAGTAGGAATGGGCAGAATGGGGAGATCATTTGGGGAAAATAGCTTCTTATGTGTTACACATAGTAAGATATACGTGGAAATATGTGAAGAGAGGGAAATAGAAATGAAATTGTAAAAATTCCCAGCCTGGAGTGACGAAAGCTGGTGTATCAGCCTCTGGTGATGTATTGAAGGTGACAGCTAAGTCGCTTTAGCACCTGCATAAAATATTAAAGGCCCGGTTGTGCATTTATCACTCCATCCCTTTTAAGGTTGATAAATGAGAATCCAGGAACCTGCTCTGCACCTCCAGCGCTGCAAGCCCTTAGGGCTCCCAGACAAACACATTTTATTTTTCCTTCTTCTTCTGCTCCTTCCCCAGTGACGGGGAAATCAGTTACTGAGGAGAGAGTGAGTTATGGCAAAATTTGACCTCTCGTGAGCTTTATTGGTGAATGTAATTTTAGCTGGAAACCTGGCCCCTTTCTTACACTCAGCCCTTTGGCCTCGAAGACGAGGATTTACTAAACTGTTCTTTGGCACGAACCTCTGGCACTAAGGGGAGCCTCTCGCAAGCAATGCACGTAGTGCATGCCTAATGAGGGGAGGAAAGCTGGCTCCCTCCGTTCAATAAAGAGGATGGGATGTGATCTCTTCCTATATCAGCTTGGATTTTAATTTAAAATATCTCCAGGGGAAAGGCTACTAAGTAAGGGACTTGAACTTAAAAGCCAGTCATGCTCAGTGGCAAGCTGGCACTCCTGCTCTGCTCTTACCTTCCTCTGAAATTAAAGTGTAGCAGAGCAGATATCAGGAGCACAGAGGTGAAGGAACAACTTCTTCAGGTTTTAACAGGCTACCCAGCAAAGCTCACGTTGTTTACTACCCATGTCTGTGGCCTTCATTTTTGTAACTTTTTTTTTTCCCCCAATGTGGAGAGCTGAGTGTGTGTGTGTGATTCGAGGTAGGGTTCTGATGAGACCGTGCAGGGCCTTAGGCTTTTCTCTAGTACAGTTATTACAATCAGTAGCAGGGAAGCGTGGGATGCCTCTGTGTCACTGTCACTACTAGTCCTGGTGAGAAACGCTACTCAGTTCATTTCCGCAGTTTTCTCCTTCACCCTCACCAAACAACTGAGTTTTTGAGAACAGTCTTCCAGTTCCTTTGGTCCTGACACTGTGGTGTCTTCACCTGGCTAATATTCCCAGGCTGTATAAATGCAAAGTTCTTACTCCTTGGTACTTCTTCCTTATTTTAACTGGAACTCTCAGGTGTGCTATTGACATTATATAAACCATTATTATGGTATAACCCAGGATTATACCCCTTCACTTCTTGGTGCAGGATGCTCTTCCCTAAGCAGGGAACTTTTTGCCACTGGCTTTCTACCACGTGTTTTGAGATGACCATATAATATCTGCAGGGTACCTGCCTGCCCTGCACAAGAAGTTTCCATAAAATTTGGGATGCAAAGCTGGAATGATCTCACTTGTTAGACAATTGTACTTCTTTTTAAGCAAGTTAAACTCTTTCATGCTTCTGTTGGTGATTCTTATGTTTTCTCTGGCTGCTGCCATTCAAAGGTCTTCATCAGTCAGGCCTGCTTTGTGCGCTCTCGAGTAAACTTAAGGTGACTGTCTCTTTCCATTCTCTGCCAGTGCTGGTTCTTCCCTTGGTTTAGGGACAGAATCCCTAATGTTCAACCCTGAAGCACAGCACGACGTTTTAGAGATGCTCTCCAATGCTTAAACCTGCTTTTTCTGGAGTTGGCAAGGCCCTCGTTAACCCTCCTCACCCGAGGCTCTGTGTTTGGCTCTGTTCCCTTTGCTGAGAAGTAGCAGCGATGTGGAAATCAAAGGCCTTTCACAACGCCAGACAGCCTTTGCCAGGCTTCACGGATGTCACCAACGTCTAAAGAGTTGACGTGGGGAAATACATAAAACCAGAGGGGAGAAGAGATGGCCGCGTGTCTCATCAATTTCAGTTTTAATGGTGTGTTGCTGTGAGGAGATGTCACGGCCGGGCGGTGGGGGGAGCAGGTCGCTGCAGCCATCTCAGTCATCTCAGAGCACTGGGCAGCCTCACAAAACTGGCTCAAACTTAGCACCTGGCTACTGTTTTTTATCATTTTTTGGTTAATGGACAAAGCTTGACACTCTTGAGGTGAAAAAAAGCTTGGTTAATTTTATGCAAGATCCCCTCAGGGTCTCAGGTGAGAGGAGGTTGGGGGATCTCGGGGTTTTCATCTTGAAAACAGAAGTCAGGGAAACAAACAGCCCTGCTCAGATTATCTGTAAGATGGTCTAATGCTTGAGAGCAAGCACAGTCTGAGGGGCTCACCTGTGTGGTTCTTAGGATGAAGGTTTCTTGCTCCCAAAGCTGTTGCAGGGAAGGCTTGCTCCTCTCTGCTAAGGGCTGTCTTAGGAGGTGGAAATTCTTTGTCTTCTGCGCTGGTGTTGCAGCTACAAATCCACAATGGGCTCTCATGCAGCAGAGCCAGATGTGCTTACCCTAAGTTGCAAGAATGTGGAATGTAAATGAAGATCGTTGTCAATTATATAGGGTTTGGCACCACGTTGTTTCAGCAGAGGCCCTGTTTGAGGTAGGAATTTGTATCTGGAGAAGTTTCTTCTGTTTGGGATGGGTACTGAAGGCTGCCAGCATGAAATGCTGCTGTTCTAATCAGGCTCTTGCTTGGAAGCAAAAAGCTATACAGAAGTATTAATAAAATCTATTCGTATCTCAGAACTGTTACAAGACTAAAACTTCTTTTGAAATACCTGAACGCTTGGTAGCCATCTGTCCCCATGTCTCAGGATCATCCCTCTCCGATGGGCTTTGTTGCAGGAGATTATTTCATGCAATCTTTGTCTAATGAGTTTCTCTGTTTAGGAAGCCAACGAGGCTTCACAAGTGAAAGCATCAAGTGGCTTCCTCTCTGATGTTTTTTTTTTTACTACTCAACGTATTTGTAGCAGCTCCTCTGTTCCTCTCCAGAATGGATGCACGTTACCCTCAGTGTTTACACTGTAAGGTTATCCCTTTAAAGAATTCCTGAGGGAAGTTCAAAAGGTTTTTTTTTTTCTTTTTCTTTGAAAGATTCAGTGTCTCTTTTTGTGTGTATGTCTCTTACTTGAAAGAAGGAAAAGGGAGGGGGGGAGCGGGGAAAAAAAAAAAGTGCTTTATCTGAAAAGAATCGCATCAGCTTCGCGCTGATAGAAGCCGCTGTCATCTCTTAAACGGCTTAGCACAGTCAAAAGGCAAGAGGACTTAAAACAGTGTCTTACACAGGGATCGATGGGAGGAACACACAACTCCTAACTGCAAAAAAAAAATAAAAAAAGAAGTGCAGGGGGGAGAGATAACGGTAATGATTGCATTGAGGGAAGCTTGAGGGTGGCTTGTTCTTTGTAAGGCGGCTTCAAAGGTGTCTGGAGCAGAGCCTGAGCAAACTGTCCTGTGAAGTCGCTGCCTCTGTAGGGCTGCGGGAGGAGGGAGGGGGCCGCTGCACCCTTCTGTTCCTTAGCAGATGGGACAAAGTGGATTAGTAAATGCCAGGGTAGCAGCTCCCTTCTGCCACCCGCGCGTTCGAGGAGGGGTTTTTGTCACTCGATCTCTCTCTCTCTCTCTCCCTCCCCGGGAAGGGGGTTTGCCCAGGAGAGGGGCAGGAGGCGAGCTGTGGCCGGCGCTGTCGGCGGGGGACGGGATGTCAGGTTATCGATCGCACCTCAGTCAGGAGAGCTGCAGGCGCAGCGCTCTGAGCACGAGCGGCAGCGTGCTTAATGTGATTGAAAGGCAGTTAAAATGGCGGTGACCTTTTCAGGGGGAATTAGATTGCCTGCCAAGAGTGGTTAGAGGGAGTGATAACGCCAGCTTGAGGAAGCTGTCCAGTCTGCTTCAAAGGGAGGGAGACAGAGACAGGGAAAGCAAACTAGCAGCAAGTACCATTTAAAGCACGAGGCACGCGGTCTGATAGAACAGAGATTGCTGTCCTCTTTAGATATGAAAAGATTGAAGAATTGTAGCTAAGTTCTCCCTGTCCGTGCTGTCCTCCTCTTCTCCCTTCCGTCTCCCCCGCTGCAAAGCCTTCCTCTGGGCACAGCACCAGAGTCATCACCATTGCTCTCCTGGGCTTCTCTACTTCAGCGGATCAATTGCCTTGAAAATAAGACAGAAGAGGGAAAGACTTTGAAAGCGTTAAAATGGTAAGCAGGGCATTTTCAGGGAAGGATGCTTTCTAAGAAAGATCAACACGATGACAAGGATCCAACTGATGGATTGCAAATACTGCGAAAGAAGAAATGGGGATTACTTGACTCAAGTTTCTCTTTATTTCTCCGTTCTGCCCTCCTCCCAAGATAGCAAAGGGCTTGTTATCCATTCATTAACGTCTTTAACTGGTGCTGCTCTTTTCTCTTGCTAACATATGCAAAGAGAGACTCAGTAAAGCCCTATAAGCTGTAACAAACTACAGTTATCCCAGGGTGCCCATTTGCATTGGATCTCATGTCATCTGCAATTAGGGCAGCTGCGTGGAAAGTGGGACTGTATTAAAATGTCTGAAAGTTTACAGCAGATGGCTGTAGTCCCACAGTCAGCTTTACCTCTGCAGAATCAAGATGTGCGTCGGTTTGAGCAGCAAGAGTTACAGACTAGCCTTCTTCCTCCATAGGCTACTTGTCCAGGGAAGAGTTCTATGGCAATAGCTATGCTCTCGAACAGTTTATTCTCCTTCTAAATACCTGTAACATCAGAAGGCGTGAGTATTATCCTAAGCGT